AGGATTGGGCAATGGCAAAGAAAATTTGTGAAAAGTTGGTTATGTTTTATGAAATCACTAAAATGTTCTCAGGGAATAAATATCCAACAGCTAATATTTTATTCCCTAAGATTTGTGAAATTAAGATTGCATTAAGGAGTTGGTTAACTTGTGGGAATATTGTGATAGAAGCAATGGCAGCATCAATGTTGGAAATTTTTGACAAATATTGGAGTGAGGTTCATGGAATTATGGCTATAGCAACTGTTTTGGATCCTAGATACAAAATGCAATTGGCGGAATTTTATATTTTAGAAATTTATGAAGATAAAACTCAAGAGGAAATGCATAAAGTTATGAAACTTTGTTATGACTTAGTTGATAGATATCAATCTAAGTCTAACCAAAATGAAAAAAATAAGTCAACAACTAGATATATCCCATTGATAGCCTCCTCTTCAAGTGTTAACAAGGCTGACTATGTTCACAAATTCAAGTCATTCCTTTCTTCTAAAGGTAATACTCCAATTGTGAAATTTGAGTTGGATACATATTTGGAAGAATCAGTGGTTCCAATTGAGACAGAAAACAGTTTTGATATTTTGAGTTGGTGGAAGGTTACTGGGATTCAGTTTCCTACATTATAAATGCTTGCTAAAGATGTCTTTGTCATTCCCATATCCATTGTTGCTTCATAATCGGCTTTTAGTGCTGGTGGAAGAGTTGTTAGCTCACATCGTAGCAAGCTTAATCCAGATACAATAGAAGCATTGATGTGTCTTCAAGATTAGTTAAGAACAGATCTCAAGGATATTAAGTTTATGTTTCTTTTATTTTTTTTTTTATGTGTATTTTTTTTGTTCTTCAATTAAGTAGTTAATTTTTAATTTAAATTTTCATATTTGAAATAGGTTCTTTGGATGATATATGTTTCTTTACTTAAAATGAGGATGTGGATTGTGATGAAGACAATAATTCAGACGTAAATATGCATGACCCTTTTTTATACTAATAATATAAACATTTTTTTTTATAAATATGTTAACATAAAGTATTTACTAATTGTATTGAAGGTCTTTTTATGAGCAATTGTGGATTTTGAGAGCTAAAGTGTTTTGAGTTGGTTCTTGGCTGCTTCCCTTCATGCTGAATATTGGTTTAGTTTAGTTATTTTATTTATGTTGGGTTGATTTCTGCTTATATTTGAACAAGTATGTTGCTTTATGTTGGATTAATTTCTATGTAAATTTGGAACAACTTATGTTTGGAACATGTTGCTTTATGTTGGATTAATCTCTATTTGGAACAATTTTGTTGATTTAATTATTTGTGTTAAATTAATTTTTATTTATGTTTGATGCAAAAAATATATACTTTGTTATTAATTGATGGGGAATGGGAATCCTTGCGAGGATCCCTTTTCCTTGCGGGGATCCCTTTTCCCTGCGGGGAACAGGGACAAGAGGCAAATTTTGCCCCCCATCAAAAATTTTTGTGGGAATCCCCGTCCCTTCCATTCGCGAGGACGGGGACGGGGAGGCACTCCCCTGTTCTGTGGGGCCCCGTTGACATGGTGGACAACAATAATATTAGCAAAATTTGTTGGGTGGGGGCCAAAAACAGTACTGGCCAGGGCAAAATTGCCAACCCAGCAAAAATGTACAGTTTATGTTAAAATATAAAATTTTAGTAATTGTTAAATTTTTTTTTCCAATTAAGTTCTTAGATAGTTGTATAACATGATATGAACAATAAATACATACTAACACATTTATATGATTAAAAAATATAAAAAACATTTTAATTATGATTAATTACATGTGGTTGTATCTAAAAGTAAAAATATAATAATTATAATATTACATAATATTATAAGTTACAATCATAATTTGTCATTATATGATCTATTTATTTTATTTAAATATGCACTTATGATATTCTATGTATATATTTATTATAAGATTACAATTGTATGTAACATTAAATTGTAACTATATCATTACTATTACTATACTAAAATGCATGTTCATTACCTATTTTCAAAAAAAAAATGCATGTTAAAAGCAAATAAAAGAAGAAGTACAGTGGGAGAAAGGCCTTCGATCCATTAACCAAATTTCTAAATGTAAAAGACTTCTTTATCCATTAATGAGAGTTTGAATTCAATAACTCGCTTCCCACCCATTTTTCTCAGAAGTTGTACTATTTGTCCTGTGTAATTAAAAGAAGAATTGTATAACCCTTTTTCCATTTCTTTTCCTATGTTAAACCATTTGTTCTATCCTATAAAAAGAAAAAGAAAAAAGAGGAGGCAAAATAGCAAACAAGGTAATCTTGTCTTGGGCCAGAAGTAAAACAGAAGCCAGGTTCTTCGCTTAAACCTCATTTTTTTTATTGGCCCTGAAACCTCTTTCAATAAACAGTCCCATTACGAAGACTAAAAAGTAAAAACGAAAACAGGCCCATTATAGGTGGGCTCAATCTGGCCTTTTCATGACAATGTCGGACCGAATGATTACAGTATGTTGGAAAAAATAAAAAGAAAACAATAAATATTTGAACGTTTAAGCTACGTGGGCGGGTTTGGTAGGCGTGATTTCACGCACTCAAGAGTTGAGTACGAGAACATGCCAACAAGGACTGAAACATA